GTTCAATTAAGAACGGAATATTAGCGGAAAACTATACAGCGCTCTCTAAGCAGTGCTATTAGTCAGAGACAAAAGGAACTTCTAGGAGGATAATATCGAAGTTTGAAAACGTAATTAAATACGGTGACAAAAATGTTTTAATTAATAATCTCTGAGGTAATAACGTCGTGAGAACAGGCCAACTTGCGCCAAATGACTGCGGGAGCTGAAACTTTCAAAGCTCTTTGCAGATAATTCTTCATTTAGGTTCCCCGTAAATCCGAGGACTATTGGGAAAAGGTCATTTTCATAGCACTGGGAAGCTTTTCTTTGACAGAGCGGAAGATTTTGACCACAGATAGGGATTGCACTTGAGCACAGGGGGGGGGGGGAGGGGCACCCCGCCACGGCACCGCCTCTCTGTGGCTGTCCTAGTCATGCAGTCCCACATCGCGCCGCTGCCGTGCCTGCCGCAGCACATGTGGCAGCGATGTGCTCCCGAGCGAATAGTAGCCCGACAGACCGCGCCGCTGGTAGCAGTGAGCTGTTTGCACCACGGCCTGGCTGTGTATGACGCACACCGTCGGTGGCGTCGGGACACCCATCACGGCAGCCATTCCGCTTCGCGTGCTATAGCCGCGACCGTTCCAAATGTTCTCCCCGAATACCATGCATGCGATGTTTAATGTCTGATCCAAACGGATGTTCGTGATAAACGTTGGCGTCAGGCGGCAGACACCGCGCCGTTGCCGACGCGTCGGGGCCGACGCGGCACGCTGAGCCGCGTGCTGAACGCCCCCATCGACCGACGATCGACGCCCTTTACAAATGTCGGATCCGCGCCTCGGCTAGAATGCAATTATTCAGCGCCGGTCGTCATCAATCACCGCCGTTTTATCTTCCGTCTTCAATACGGGCCGTCTATGACGAATCAAACCCTAATAAAACCGGCATTCAAATTGAAATTCAATGATAAAACACAATGCAACATCCACAAGCCATTTATAACGGCACGGAACACGTCTTCGGCGGACCGGAGTCGCTGCGCAGATGATGATAAAGGAGGTCTGCGAGGTGCGGGAAGCAGGGAATATAAAGCGGTCCGCGGGTGCGCGCGCGCCGACTGGCGGGTCCCCGCTTGGCCCATCACTCGGCACGGAGATGCGCCCAGGCCTCGCTCTCAGCTTTGTGGAGCCGTGTGCTGACTCATGAAGTGGTCGGTTTTATGATTTTGGTATTATAATGCATGCAACCTCTTCAGGAAAAAAGACAAAATGTCTCCAAGCTTGGAGACAAATGGCAAGTGCCCATTTGTCTCCGAACACCCGCAAATTTGGAGCGAATTCCTGCAAAATTGCCCAGTTTCTAGTGTGAGCCTCTTGACACAAGAGGGTGGGGGAGGCAGTCTCGTGGTGCCCTTGACTACGCCCCTGATTCCCTTTCCCTAGTCTTGTCCTAGTTTCCAGTTCTCGTCAACGCACTGCCGACAGCCGAGGAGGCAGCTAAATTATTGATAACTCAAACTCGACGTAAATATACCTTTAAGAAGATCACTTTGGTGTCTCATATCTACTCCTGCGTAGACGTCATAAGCTTTCCGGCCATAATTGAGGCACTCGTGTTTTCACAGACTCCTGCGAGTGGTCCTGCGGTCGCTTCGCGTGTCTGGGACGGTAACCCAGCAACCATGGAATAACTGCATTACATGGGTAATTTGATTTGAAGGAGCCTGTGACATCAATCAGCGTTCTTGTGTGTTCAAACGACCGTGGTGTCCTCGCTTCGGTGGTGACGTGCGGTATGCATCTGGGGCAAATAGCACGGATGTCAAGAATAGGAGCTGACGCACGCATACGCATGAAAGGAAAAGAAAGCATGGGAAATCAGTGAAATGTGGAGGGGAGGTGGAGTGCAATGGACATCAAAGTGAGAAAACGAGAGGTGAGAGAGGACAAAAAGAGACAGAGGAGAGGAAAAGAGACAAAAAGAGAGAAAGGGAGAGGCAGAGAGGGAGAGACAGAGAGATGGAGAAGAAGCGAGAGAGAGAGAGACAGAGGCAGAGAGAGAGAGAGAGAGAGAGAGAGGGAGAGGAGGGAGAGGAAGAGGGAAAAATACAGAGTGAAAGAGGGCTAACGGGATGCTGAAAGCAACCAAAAGAGAGTAAACAATGTTTCAAAAGGAAGAGGAATTAAGATGGATCGAAAAGAACTAAAATACAATTTACGCGAGAGACGGGAATAAAAAATCGTTGTACAGAAAGCGTTTGGACTGCGGATTTCTACCCGCGCATGAGTTCCAGAGAGTTTGTAAGTGAAGCGTCCACACGACCTGAGCGGCGCGTCGCCTGCCCGGCACAGCAGTCAGTATGAACTGATGCGCCTTGCGTCTCCGTCTGTGTCGTCGGCATGCACCTGTCCCTCCGCGGCCAGCATGTTCCTGAGCCGACCGGCTGGTTTAGGCTCTCGGTGACGGTCGGGCGCGTTCCTGCGGCTCCCCATGTGGGGGACCACCCGGCTGGACCCCGCCCACCGTTACGTCACGGCCCGGCTGGAAATAACGCGCGCCTCGGCGCCCGGCTCCACTGTCGCCGGTTACCGGACTCGGGCGGGAGACGCTGGGGGAGGGGGTGCGGCAATCGGCCAGGCGCGCCCAACGAGCGCACGTCAGAACGTACCGATGCACCTCGTGGACGCACGTCAGGGCTCACCTCACGTCCCGGTGTACCCCGCAGACGCACGTCAGGGTTCACCTCACGTCCCGGTGTACTCCGCAGACGCACGTCAGGGTTCACCTCACGTCCCGGTGTACTCCGCAGACGCACGTCAGGGTTCACCTCACGTCCCGGTGTACTCCGCAGACGCACGTCAAGGTACACCAGACGATCCAACGTCGCGACGTCTGGACGTCTCGCTCGGGTGAGGACAGATAAGCCCAAATGTCGGCCATCCGGAAGATACCGAGTGCAGAAAACACCGGTTGACTGGAAGTAAGGAGTATGGACACGGGGGAAGATGGACTGTTGGAAGCCACAGTGGCCTCTCGAAGGCCGGTGGACGTGGGGTGGGGCGGTGAGCTTTGCAGGGCTGTGGACAAGGAATTATGGTGAGTTCTGAAGAGGACAGAAGAACCGGGAGGGTAGAGACTGCGGCAGGGACAAAGGACCTCAGGGAGGACGAACGGTTTGGGAGGGGAAGCACGGTATAGTGGGAGGTTAAGATGGGGAGTCGGAATATGGAGGGTGGACTGTGGATTCGGAGTGGTTAGGGTGGAATGCGCTGGCAGAATGGGAAGGGTAGTATGTGGAGTTCGACTGAGAAGGCGGCCTTTGGCCACATATCGACCGAACCACCCCAAGCCCGCATCGTTCATCGCTCGTCGAAACGGCACCGACGCGTCTGCAGTTGAAAGAACGAGCAAAAACGAGAATAATAATTACTGCGGGCGCTGACTGATGAAAGATCAGAGCGGAAACGTCGGAAATCCAATTAGAACGCAGAAGAGACGGCTGTTTGTGATCGAAAATAGCGCCGATTGCGCCATTTTTCATCGCACGCTTCATTGATGAAGCAGAATCGACAGAGTAATTAGGGCGTTGGTGGAATGACCCTTTTTCTGTGGCACGCCCGCGGTCGTTAGGCCGGGAAAATATCTCGAACATTCCTCAGAGATTTCAGATGGATGTGGCCCATTCGGCATTCATAAACGCAGATCAACATTCGAATCGCATCATTCGAAAGCCCGGGTCTCGCGGCCCTGTGTTTATCCCTGGACTGCCCTATCATTTGGCATTCTAAAACTGTGATTTCACTTAGTAAACTAATGATTGGAATGAAGAAATTACAGTCATTTGGTGACCAGAGCAAAAACAGGCGAGCGGCGCGCGGCGTGCAGCAGGAATTTAGACTGCGGTCGATGGGCCGACCAGCTTATAATCGGCTGATCCTGTGATGAATTGCCAGTATCGCACCCGGACTTGAGACGTAACGGCAGAAGGGCGGCTCCCGTATGATTTACAGCCGTCGAGGGCCGAGATAAAAACGACGCCTGACCGCCGCTGACCGCGCCGGGGGTGCCGGCCGCCGGGGAGGGGCCGGGGAGAGACAGGGGGAGGGGCGGACCAGCCACGGACGAGCTGCATTCCTGACCCGCTGCCCCCGGGCCCCTCTCGTCCAAACGTGACGCGTGGCGATGGGGACGTTTGGTGATGTTAAGGGAACGGCCCATAAACCGTGGTGCGCTGCATTGGAGCGTTTAGCTGTGTGCAGCGGGAGAGCTGGTGTTCGTAGATGACTTCACGTGTAATACTGCCGTGTTCGCGGAACACACTGCAGTGACCAGTCTGGCGTGCAAAAGAAAATATATTCTTTTGCCGCTCACACCTAGCACTGCAAACGGTGAAGCGAGTTATTGGAACACACTTGCCTCCGGTCGATTGTTTAGCGCCGCGAAACGGAAATCGAATTTGGTCGCAAACTTCACGTCCATGTCCTGTCATCAAGGCCGGCGTATAGGACACGGTCTTGGTCTTACAATAATCGATGCACCAAGCCATATGCTATATGTTTGCTGAAAAACCTGGCGTCATTGCAACCGTTTAGTAACATTCTTGCGGGAGCCCTAACTTGCAAAAGCAGCAAGTCTGCTGAATTAATGCAGCGAAACGTGGGGAAATGCCGGCATACGCCAACGATAGCTAAACAGAGCTATCATATCCTGTTTGTAATACTCGGGACCATAAAGTGCGTTACGTCAGAGCCTGGCTGGGTCATCCGACTTGAACTGGTTCCGGTCTTTAACGTGAAACTCGACTGGCTGTCTTACTTCCTACCACCACCACCGGACCCGTGATGTGTTCGCGGAAAGACGTGAGGAGCGTCGGGACAGCTACTCGTCGCCCGGGACTTTCTGGAAACAATCCAGCATCCCTCCGACCCCGCGAAGGCATCGCCATTTCGCCAGGCGTTCAGCCGCTGTTGATCACGAGCTCACTGTGCACGTGACGCAGCTGGCGTGACACTTACCGCTCCAGGTGCTTGACCACGTCCTCGTAGGCGGCCCTGCAGTTCTCCCAGACGGCAGACCTGCCGACACAGCGGGGGCGGTTGGGAGTCACGGGAGGACGGCGGTCCGGTACAGCATGTCGGCTAGCGCCTCAGTATGGGTCAGTCCTCTCTATGCCTGCCTTGTCGACGCGTGGTGCCGTGGCGGGTAATGGAGTGCTGTGTTAGCAGGCAACAAACGCGGCACAGACTTCTGAAGAGCACGCATCGCACGCATCAGATAAACAAAGCAAAACAAAAAACGCAACAGCAGACGTGCCGCCGACAAGTGGCGCATGGACCACGCTACTAGACAGGTAGCAGAAGAACCGCAGTGCCAGGTAGCGGGCGTAGCGCAGTAGCGGTAGCGTTGTCAGGTGGCGGTTGGGCAGCGGCGGCCATCGCGTCACTCATACTTGTTTGTGCCGCCCGTTCAGCTCTAATTGCTCCATCATAGCCGCATTGACTGTAATTCGGCCGTCGCTCTCCTCTGCCCCTCTCTCTCTCTGCTCCGTTTCAAAGTTAGAATGAATTAAGATTAAATTTCAGAGGAGCACTAGCAGTAATTTAGAGGTTCATATGTAACTTTGGCTGACAAGCTTTCACAAGACAGTGTAGCCAAATTTAATTAATTCCATTCTAACGATCCGCAATGATAAATTAACACGGGTGTCCTGTGAGCCGGCTGGTGGCCATTGTAAGGGCTCGCCAGTGTTACACGACGCCGCACCCCACACCACTCAGCTGACTAATGTTTGTCACTTTGTCGGGTAGCGCGCCGCTTAGTGATGCTTGAAATGTGAATTGTTTTCCTTCAATGCCCCTGTTAATTAGAGCGGTGAAAAAATTTCCTCCGAAGTGCCTTAATTAAAATGCAAATATCCTTAAATAATCTGAATTAGAAGTGTCTCAAATCTTATTTAAGGTGTCTCCTTTGGCTGCGGTAGCTGGCTATGTCGACGCAAAGAACCTCAAATAATATTTCATGCCACACGCGTCGCGGAATTTGGCGCCGGAGTGGTAATTAAGTAAAGAGCAGCGTAGCACGATGCATTTTAATTCGTGTTTAAAACGAAATAATGTAACACCAGATAAGGAATGACATTTATGAAACCATTATTTCCCTTTCCCATTGTATGCGTCATAATTATTCATGAGGTAAACATCCAGAGATTTTGGGCGAGGATTTATATCGTCTTGAGAACGGAGATGCTTATTTCTAATTGGAAAAGAAAACGGGTACTCAAACGTGCTTAGCTGCGGCGAAGACCAGTTAAGTCAGATAAATTCTGGGCTTTTAGCCGCAGAGGATGATGGAATGTAATATCCCATAGAAATGAGTTTCAACGATAATGGATGGGGCGAGCATTTATCCCCGAAACAGCCGTACTCAATCGTTTCAGACGTCAGCAGCTTTCAGCAGAACAAAAACACGACTCTACCGTCCGGCGCAGGCTGACTGTGTTGAAATGCAGCACGACTGAGATGTGTGGTGGCGACCGACGGCCGATGGAAGGAGTCTGCAGGGACCGGACCCCCACCCCAGGGCACAGTCTGTCCAGACTGAAGTCTGCCCTGAAGATGGTCCGTCCCGGTCACGGTCTGTCTCGGCCGGAGTCCTTGAGTCAGTCTCAGCTGGCCCAGTCGGAGTCCGTCTCTCTCTCTCGGTCCAAGCATGAGCCGCCGCCGCCGCCGCCGCCGGAGGCCGCGCGCCGCCGTCTCACCTGTTGATGAGGTCATGCGGCATGCCCTGGTGCTTAATGAGGCCGGGCTGATCGGGTCGCGTCAGGCCGTGGCTGGTGGGCAGCGTCGGCAGGCCAGCCGGGCCGAAGAGCGCGGCCGCCTGCGCCGCCTGTGCCGCCTGCGCCGCCGCCGCCGGGTGACCCAGCGCCATGTAGTGTAGCGGGTTCAGGTGCGGAGGGTGGTTGTAGCCGTTGGACAGCAGCGGGGACTTGTCGATGCCGTGCTCTGGAAACGACGGACGCCGCTGGTGATTGGCGCTGGACACGGGCAGCTCGCGCCTCGGGCCCGTGGCGCTGCTAGCAAAAGGTCACTCGCCACTAGACGTGATGCTGTGACTGGAAGCTGGAGAGGATCACCTTGACTGTCGAGCGCACGAAGTCCTGTACCGTTCTCCCCCCCTCCCCCCCCCACACACACCTCTGCTACCCCTCCCCCTCTGTCTCTCTGAGCCTGGGTGTGTTTGAAACCGGTCTCCGGTCGCCGATCACGTCCGTGCTGCGACAGCGCACCACTCCCAGCGTTGTGCGTATCCCGCCGCCTGGTGGTCACGGGCAGACGGCAGCGGCTGATGCCGAATCGGAATCCCATTTCCGGAGCAGGGGTCGTGAGACAGGCGGAGAAAGATCGCAAACTGCGCTGCAGGCGATACGGCGAGATAACAGCAGGCTGTGGCGCGGGGCACGAGACGGGCGGAAAGATAGGCTCAACGGGTTACAACTTTTGGGAACACCGCTCAATGCGCGCAACAGCGCAGGAGATCTTCAGGGAGATATCCACTCGAGCATCCGGTACCTGAGTGGTATCCCTATCACGACAACTGTCGTCAACTGCTGTCAACAATCACCCGGCAACACTGACGGGGTCGAACCGCTTTGGTCGGAGGGAGCAGGCACACGGGGAGAGACAACGCCAGGCTATCAGTTTGTGCGCAAATGATTGGTGAGCGACGCTGCGCCAGCGGGGGCCGAGGGACGCTCGGACCAGGCGTATTTACATCTCTCCTGCTCAGATTAAACACAATAGGGAAATGCCATTCCCACTGCACGACAGCGCAATTCAATCAGAGTTTATAGCGCCCACCTCAATAAAGATGTGTCATTCTATACGCCGCGGACGAAAAACATAAACGGACTTGATTGTTCTATTAATTCCTCTAAGTTTGCTGCAAGACGGAAAGGCATCTCGTAAAAAGGCAAGCAGATGTGGGCAGTAAAATCTAAACACTGATTGAATTCTTTGCTGGTGAAATACGAAAACGAAGCCAGAAGATTGCCACCGGCGGATACCGTCTCTGCAGAATGTCGTCAAGCGACTCTTCTTGGTCGCCAAAAGCTCCTCAAACGAAAGGAGGGAGACCATGAAAAGCCTTGGCTTACTGTGCTGTCAGGCCGACCTAACCCACCCCTCTCTCCCTCCGTCCCCGCCCCTCGTACTCTGCCTTCCTTTCCCGCCCCTCCTCCCTTGTCCTTTGGTCGTTCATGTACCCGCGTTCCGTTCAATCCTGCCACCACCTCTCCTCTCCCTCCGATAACCCCGTTGCCCTTCCCCCTTCCTGCCCTAGCACGCGGTCCTCTCTCCACCGGCCTGACGCCCGACAGAGACGTAAAAATTCCTGCCGGCTCTTCTGGCAGATGAAAATCTCGCCCCTCGCCACCGGCTTTCAGCGCGCGGCACTTTTAATCCGACCCGATCTCATTTAGCAGTAGGTCTTCGTTTTTATTACTCGGAACGTATGAAGCTTTAACTCTATTCCGATTTTTATTAGATTTCTGCCATATTAAAGTCGGTAAGGCACGTCGTTATGCGGCAGTCAAATGCGCGCCACGAAGGGACAATGGCATCAGCCAGGAGTCGACTATTTTCGGAAATGAGAACCGGCCGGAAAATTGAAGTCATGACTGGCCGGGGCTGGTGGTGCAGGAAGCACTCAGAGCGATAGATCAAGGGCACGTTTGATTGGAATCCCACCCTTCGATCGTGGCAATTTAACAACAAATGGAAAGCGATTTTTCCTGGTACAGGGCAGGTTTAAGTAGCCGTTTGCCCGTGCGGGGACGGATTCTAATGTTGCCAGTTCACAGTAACGGTTCCTGAACGAGGCCATCTGTCTATATGGATTTGATTCCGGATCTCCATTCGCTGTAATGCTGGTCAGTAATTGACCAGACGGCATTACACCGCGTTGTCAGACGTTCCATCATTTGGCTGCCAGTCACGAGCGTATTGAGCCATTGATAGCCGGAAAGTCTACGCCATTGTCGGCTCGTAAGAAAGTCTGAAACAGGGCGCTCGAATGTTGGAGCCGGCCAACATATTGTAGTTCGTGCACTTATATTGTATGGTGGCTTATGCACGTACAGTGGTTTACTGCAGCACCTCTAGTCGGCACATATAAGACAAGCACCACATTTTCACGGGGTTTAATAACGACTGCTTCGTCCACGTTTAATTTGGAGACAGCGCGCTTCGTTCTGCGTTTCAGGGCAACTCGTCGCTTCATCCGCACGTGTTTCGCACGGGCACCAGCACGCGATCCCCCACCGCGATAGTTTTCCTCCCCGACACTTGAGCAGCGCCCTCCAGCACGGCCAATCGAGCCACCCACTTACCCATCCCCTTCACGCCCGCAGAGGTGTAAGCAGGATTGCACGGGGGAGGGGGAGGGTACGCGTAACT